AACCCGCATATGAAGCACATATAAGATAAGTAACTAACCTTGTCCAAATACCCGCATTCCAAAATAATTATTTTATTTGAAACTGGATTCTTTATAATTTACATTAAGTAAACAACACCTATAATATAATATTACACCATGTACGAGTCTCGTATAAAGAGAAATAGAATGAAAAGAGTATTTCAGTCACAGGAGTTCGTTTAGGAGTATATTTGTCATATTTAAAATATAAAACCATAAAAACTATCATAATAAAAAAATGGGGTGAATTATCGTACTATCCGGATACACGGATAGTAAACACCAACTGTTACTATGACACATTCATGACTCATGAGTGCATTCGTTACTATATATGTATTAATGTATGTATGATTATTAACTATTATTAAAATAGATTAGATAAATATCCTTTATATAGTATCCTTTATAAAATAAACTTGTTTGTTTTATTATTTATTAATAAAACGTGAATATACAATTATTATATTGTAATCATTAACGAAGTACATTTTATATAATATGCACTCTAAACTTGATTATTATAATATTGTAGGCATTTCTATTATAAAATTCACGTGTATAATAACGTGAAACCATATTATGTTAATACATTAAAAACTGTTGATCAACACATGTATGGATTCAATATCAAGGCAAACATATTGTCCAACAGAGCTTATTCTAGAATAAACAAAAGAGCGATGGTGTTTAATGTAATTAATTCTTATAAATTTCATATTTACTTATACTATTCACTATTCAGTAATAATACTTTTAAGTTTTAAAGTACGAAGTAGTAGGAGAAGCAGACTATAATTTATTTGAGTTAGTGTATGTTCGGGTTAATCTCAGAAATTACTGTACGAATTTTCATACGGTTATCATGAATAGAAAGAATGATAATTTAAAAAGTTTAAAAATTAAAGAGAAAATTTATTAAAATTTTGTAAAACTAATTAATCTACTGGTATGATGATATTTGTGAATTGAATCAGAAAAAATATTTATTGCGCAACCTAACGGAGCAAGAGTCAACAACTAATATTATTATAAAAATAATAATATAAATACATAATATGGTCTGGTTCTTTTAATGGATCTAATTTATCTATTTTCGTCGATTTAATCGTAAAACAGGAAATAAATAGTTATAATAAATTCTTTGATCAACATCAATGTGCTATATATTTTGCGGATATTAAAGCTAAGTATGTTATTAGATCCTGACTGTTATTAGAAGGCAGTGGTAGCCCAATGGTAAAGCCCTCACTTGGGCAAACGAGTAAAACCGGTTCAAATCCCGGGTCTCGCACCTCTGATATTTTCATGTGCTTAATGCTTATTATTTCTAACATGATTAACACTTGGCTTACGGTGAAGGAAAACATCGTGAGGAAAACTGCATGTCTGAGAAAACCTAGAAAGTTTTCGAAAGACATGTGAAGTCCGCCAACCCGCACTTGGCCAGCGAGGTGGACTATGGCTTGATTCCCCTCATATGAAGGGAAGCTCGTGCCCAGCAGTGGGACGTTAGAAGGGGCTGAATACATGTTACTTATTTAGTCACTGCTCGACACTGCGGATTGCCCAACATGCGCAGGCGCCACTTGAATGTACGCTGCTTAAAGCTGGTAATGGGAGCAACTATTGGCTATATTTAGAAATCGGTATTCATTACACATTAGGATATTTTTGCACATATCAATTTACGTATAGATTATTTCTTTGATATTACAGCTTTTATTTATTTGTGTTAAAATCCATAACTTTATTGCAGATTTTTTATAAATATAAGAGTACAATTATTATTTATAATTTATTTACTTTTATTTTAATATTAATTTATATGTTATAGCCGGCAGCTTTGCGCGATACTTTTAGCAATTCTATTTTTACTAATACTTATTTTATTTAATTATTAGATACATTAATATTACAGTTTTAACACAATCTTTAAATTAGTATCCATGAAAACCTTTTGTTTTCCAGAAATTACTGGAATGATCAATATGAAAGATATTAATTTTTCCCGGATTTGTATAAAATGAGTGGTATTCATATTATATATGTGTACATTGTACACTTTTATCTGCTTTTCTTCATATTTCCCCGGAACAAATTTTGTTCTAATTTATTAAATTGGCTAGGAAATGGCCTAAGTTTTTATAAACTATATATATAGGCTTTGGCATAAAGTATTTAAATAAGTGCTAAGCTAAAATAAGGCATAACATATCTGTTTTTAGTTAACGATTACAATTACAAATTAAGCATTATTTTTCCTGATTTTAATAATATTTCATAAAATTGCATAACTTATTCTAAACTTAACAAATATGAAACAACTCTGTTCGAATAAGACAATCGGACTGGTCGATGTTATTTGTTAATTGGTTCTTTGCACGTATATAAAGAAATCAAGGCTTTATGCGTAACTACCTATACCTATAGACTATAGAGTATCATCTCGATAAAAGTTGAATCACAAGCTTACAAAATCAAGGTGCTAATTATCAATAATTGGCTTACCTACCTACTCAATATTTTTTTAATACTTTTGACTCTTTTATTTCTCCTACTTTTAAATTATAACATTCTTATATTTAAATAAAAAAAAATATTACTTTAAAGTTTTTTTTTAAGTTTTTTAAGCCAAATAAAACTTTTTAAAAATAAATAAAACCGACTTCCAGGCACTAAAATGTAAAAAAATACTAAACGGGGATTTCAGAATATATACCTAATCAGATATTTTCGAAGTCGTTTTTGTTCGAAGTTTTATTTTTCCATTTTTAGTGTAGACGTAATAAGCAGGTAATTTGTAAGAAGAAAGTTTTTTAATAACATATTCGATTAAACAATTTATTTAAAAAAAGTTGATTTTTTTAAAAAACCGCTAGGCCGATTTCGATAAAATTTAAATGAGACCACCTAGGATGTATAACCCTTCAAAACAAAAAAATATTTCCAAATCACATGAACATACATAAAAAAAGATTCTGACCAATTGAGAACCTCCTTACTTTTTGGAAGTCGGTTAATTATTATACATATTATGTATATTATTATAAAGCGCTACGAACAAATCTGTTAAACTTTTTTTTTGATGTTGCAATTAAAGAACGATAAAAGTTAAAGTAAAATTACAATTACCATTCTACCTTATCTGTCAGAGAGAGAGCGGACTACGATCGTAGTAGAAATGCGACAATAGCATTCTTTTCGTTTTCGGTCATCAAGAACAATGCCACGTTATCTACTGTTTTCATTCTTGCCCTCGCATATATCTCTGTGTCACACGAATAGCATGTTATGAAGTGTTAAACCACGTTCGTCACATACGCGACCATTATAGGATTAACATATAATACACTATATCAAATCAAATATACCTTTTATAAGCAATTTTGAATCGTAAATTTTACATTTTAAATTTAATTTAATGTCAGTGTAGTCAGTCCGTGAGGAATCTACCACCGGCTCCGAAGGCAGTTCTGATAAGAACCAACAAAAAACTGAACAGTTGCTCTTTTTAAATATAGTATATAATTTACAATATTGCTATACGATAATTAACACAAAATAAACGGACATCGCTACATACATTTTATATGAAAGTATACATCGTGTTTTCCATTCTACCATTTCTACGTGACATTGCGATATCTACTAATAGTCCTCAGTTGGTTAGCAAAAAATTTGATATACCTATTGAAAAATATACAATAATATAAATATTAAAAGATTACGAACACTTATTATTGTATTTCATATTTAAGGTGTTTCTTTTGGTAATTAAATTCAAATAATGTTGATGTGTGATGATTGTAAATACAAATCTACGGCTGTCGTGTACAATAAGTAGTTCTGTGTCCGTGACACACATACCCACAAAGACGAATGAAAGCCGAATGTTTTAAGTGACAAGACTTGTGTACCTTTCGGCATGCTTGTAAATTTTTTTATAATCTAGAAAATTCTTTAGTATTATGTTATCAACTATAGGTAGATACTTTTTATTAATGTTTTTTAGGAATAATATCAACCACAACTAATAGATTACGTATTGTTAACAACAGTGCTGTTAATTGATAGCGATAAAATATAGTATAATAAATAAAGGCCACGTTCTACTATCATGATAAATTTTAGGCGTTTGAGGGGTTCTGAAAATAAAAATGTAATAAAAAAATTATGAAAAAATTTCATGTTTTATAGAGGTAAATGCAAAAACGAGAATTTTTTGATAAGCAAATTGTTCACTTGTTAACCCATTTTTGTCTTAATGTCATGTGCGTTTCGCTGGTTGGAACACCGTTCAATAAATTGAGTGATTATTTATACAAAGAGATACCTCACAAAGAACTTTAAAACAGAAGGAAGTTAAAAAAAATGTTTATCATAAAATAAAAAATATTATTTGAACTTAATACATAGTAAGTATAATTAAATATTTATAAAATCATTAATTATTTTAAACAAAATATATGTACATGAATGTGAAACAAATTCAAACCATTCTTAAAAAATCTCTAAAGATAAATTTAAAGTCGAATATCTTCCGTCTAAAATTACGCAGAAATAGGTAGGTATAAGTTCAATCTGCGCAGATTAATCTTATACTTGTAATTTACAATTGCTATATCATGTCATAATATGAAAAGAATAAAGCAATCATTTAAATATGATTAAATTTAATTAATTAAATTAATTAAAAAATACTAAAAATATGAAAGGACAATAACTTAAGAAAACCTTTAACAGATATGATATAAACATTTCAAGATCGTTTTTTATTATTGCGTAACCTTTTCATCTAGAACATTTAAGGATCATGAATATTTACGTCGTTTAAAATACATTATTATATTTATACATATCTGATCAGAGCTTGCTTATTTAATGTCTTGTCGCCTGAGAGGAGGTTTAGTTTCGTTCGGATCGAATGACTCGAAAGGTCGTTTGTGATCTTTGTTTAATTAATAATTGGTTTTAAAATGAGCGATACAAAAGTGAATGTGAGTAAACGTAAAAATAAAACTAAAAAAAGTGCTAAAGAAGAAGAAGTAACATGTTGGAATTGTTTTACGGTTGAAGATAATGATAGACATCTGGAACCTGTTCCTCTACCAAAAGTGCGAGAGGAACACAGGGAAAAATTAAAAGTATATTCTTTTTTGGCTTCTGAATTATCAAAACCTAGAGCTGTTCCTCTTAAACAAAAAGTAAGTGAACATTACGCAATTGGAAAGAAGATCGATGAAAAAATTTCGTGCCAAGTGAGTGCTGAATGTTTATCGGGTAATAACTTTGGTACGCCGTCGAATGATAAAAATGATATTAAAAATGAAAGTCAAACCAAAAAATATCTAAGCAATGAAGACATAGATATTAAGGAAAAAAATCAATTACTTTTAAGTACTGATGAAAAAAATATATCTCAAATACAACAATGTGAAAATAAAGTGAAATCGTTGCATAAAGAAAATGTATATAAAAATTCAACACTACAATCTAGTGAACATAGTGACATAGAATCATCCTTTAATAACAAACCCGAGATTTTAAATTTAAATAAAAATGTTTCTGAAAATATAAGTATTCATAATATATACGAGGACTGCGGCACAAACAAAGTGTCTAAAAAAGTATCCTCAGAATTTATGTCATTGGATATACCTCCAAATGAAGGCAGTGCTAATGACAACCCAACTAAATTAAATATTAAGAAGTCAACTGAACCCGAAAGCAAAGCGTTATCAAAGACGCCGTCTATACGGGAACAAAAATCACCAAAAGAAATACGAGAAAACGAAGTGGAATCATTGCATGAAGAAAACTTATTTAAAAACTCACCAATACGAGTTAGTGAAGATGATGACATAAAAACATCATCGTATAAAAATTCTAAGTTTTTGGATATAGATAAAAAAGTATTTGACGAAATAAGTATTCATGTTAAATCCAAGGACTGCGGAACAAACAAAGCATCAAAACCATCATCATTAGAATTCATGTCATTGGATACACCTCCAAATGAAGATAACATTGATCAAAACACAAGTAAAACATTGCCGGAACTTAATACGTACAAATCAGATGAACTAGAAAATAAAACGTTATTAAATACATCGTTATTACGCGAACATAAATCTTCTGAAAATAATTATTCTTCAAATATAAACGAAATAAAATCATTGGATATGACGAAAGATAAGATTTATGAAAGCGTGTTAGAGAAGATGTCTAAGTTAAGTATTTCAAATTCAATTGGTTCTGAAGAAAACACATCACCTATTAAAAGGGACCTAATAATACATCAACAAAATTCACCTTCAACAGAAATTGCGGGCAAAACTAAATCTTCAACCATTGATTATACGCATAGAGATGAAAGAAATAAAATGAAACAAAGTAAACCATTACAAAACAATTATAAACGAAATGAAATAAAAACAATGTTTGGAAATGTTATTGACATGACAAATAAAGAAAAAAATCCCACAAGGGCATCGTCAACGCCTATGCTGTCTCAAAAAACAATTAAAAAGTTGTCTAGTAATTCCTTAAGTAGTGATAGTCCAATAATCCGTGACGATAATCAAGACGCATGTCCATCTAAATTAGAATCTCCAATGACAGTAAAGCTTTTTAAAACTAGAGAAATAACGAAACTTAGTCCACCGTTAGTTACGAAAGCAATTGAACGTAAATCAATTGAAAAATTAACTAGTCAAAAATTAAGTTCCTACAGAGATGTTGAAAAGGATAAAAATAAGGCAGAACGTACGTCCGATAAAATTGTTGTACAAAAAAATAAATCCACAAATATTTTGCCAATTCCTAACAAGGAAGATAATAAATTAACGTCTATTCAAGCAAATAAGTCAATTTTATTTCCTTCATCTGAAAAAAAATCTATTGCATTAAACACCTCTTTAAGACCCGAATCTGTGAATACTAAAATACCTGTTTTGCAGAAATCTGTAAGTAGTAAATATTCACCCGTTCAAATATTAAGGAATAAAGCCAAACATTATTTAACAAGAAATTCTAGTAACGTTAGCGACAAATTGTCGCCTACATTATCGATAAAAAATTATGTAAATCAAGAAAATAAACAATCTTCGAGCGCCTTTAAATCTCCAATAAAAAATGAACTAGAATATTCAGAATGCAAAAATATTGAAAATGAGAATATTTTATTTAAAGTTCCGATAAACACATCTACTCCTAAGGGAAAAAGTTCTGAAATATCGGATACTCTTTCAGAGAGTGAAAGTAATCAAACGTCATTAGAAATAAAGGATGCCATTGCCAGTAGCTACAAAAACGACAACGCCAGCTCTAACGGTTCCGAATCAGGATATGCGGGCTCATCCGCAAATGTACAAGATCTTCCTGGTGATGAAAACACTAGTAAAATCCTCGATGACGACCCAAAAGATACTACAGATAAAAATGATAACAATACCTCATTACCTTATCCTTCAGAACATTTTAAATCTTCTATAACTTCACTTAATATTATAAATAATAAAAAACCGTTACAAACTTCTACAATGTCTTTGTACACTACTTCAAAGAAATCACCAATGAAATTTTTGCGGTGGAGCACTTCGTCACCAAAATCAATCAGCTTTAAAGGTTTATTAATATATTCTATTAATTTTATAATTTTAATTAGTAGCTAAGCCAATTATTTTAAAACAAATAAAGTTAAATATATTAATTGGTAGTAACGTCCCTAGATGCAATTTGTATTTATAAAATGATATGCAAGCAGCACCACCTTTTTGTAAATTTTATTACTAATAATAGTAGCATATATGTTATTTCGGGTCATACTCTATATTCTTCCAAATCCGTGCAAACATACATTGACACCACAAATTGCATCTTGGGAATCAGCAATTAACATATTTAATTCTAACATATTTTAAAGTTAGACACCATATTTATATACTACGTTTAAATTTTTTGTATTTATAGCTACAGGTACTTTATGCTAGATGTTCAACATAGTATATTAATGTCTGGCAAGTGGATACCGTTTAATACGTTTAATAATGGTCTCTTTTAATTGGCCCCTGGACATTATTAATTCACTTAACTATATGACGTGTAACAGGATACAATCATACCAGGCAGGATGCGATAAAAGTGGGATTTGTTATTTTGCTACTGAACACGTATTTTAGTTGTTGTGTTATTAATTAATTATAATTATGGCGGCTTTAATAAATTATAGACCGGACCAAAGTTATCGTTCAGTTGAAAATTATAGTTTTAGTGCTATAAATGAAACAGTGCAGCCACAATCTCAGTTTGAACCAGTAGATATATACTCAATGAATTCAAGTGACATGCAAAATAATGAAAAAACATCGAGAATTCGTGATTTCTTTCTTCGGTGCTGTTCGTGTTGTTGTAGTTCTACGTCTAATGATAATAATGATTCTCCATTAGATGGCTCTAATTCAGCTCTAGTGGGACATGTTGGCCGTAGTTATACCTTAAATACAGAGGCAATCAATCCAGTGGTGCAACGCGCAGTCCCAACCGTTACTATTACTAAAGTAATAGATAACGACTCTATAAAATCTACACAACTCTTGTTAAACAGTGAAAAAGATGCAAGTCCTACTTTTGCTAAAATTAAAGTGAAAAAAGAAAAGGGAAGTCAAAGTGAAAGTTTATATGATTCAGGACATAATAGTAGAAGCAGCACCCTTAAAACTGGTGAGAAAGCGTCATTCATTCGCGAAATTTTGAACTGTCGGGATTCTTTTATAAGGTCTTTAGAATTGTGCGACAATTCCCTTACGAGAGGCAAAAAGTATCGTTTCATAGTGCGTGATGATTGGTTAGACGAAGAAAACAATGGTATTCAGAAATCTGTTATGATTTTACGGAAGCACGTATGAGATTGTCTCTTGCACTACTCACGTCCATATAAAATTGAATAATAAACACATGCATGAATTTCAGCACCCTGTTTAAAAACTACGAAGCACTTTTATACCCTCTCGTACATCAATACTATATTTTTAATAAATAGCTTTGAGGTTATGTAATGTTATAGTTATATTAAAACTTAATTCAGTACAATATTATTTTTGATTTACAGATGAAGTCTACATGTCGGAAGCGATGTCATCTCCTGGTCACGCCACGCTCCCAAAACGCTCTAACTCACCGCTGCCCAATGAACGAGACTTGGACAGAGATAGGTTCCCTATCAACAGAAGCGGCTTACAAGTAAGTGTATAATTAAAATTATACGTATATCTCTTAATATATATTTCTAAGTAATTTATCTGTATTATAAAAGTTATTATTTTGTTCTCTGTTGTGGACTCTGAAGTCAAAGGCCATTTGCATAGTCAAATTATCATAATTCTACTATGCAAATGGGCAGGTAAATTTTTGCCAACAAAAAAATCTAACTTCAGATATTACGTTGCTTAGATATATGCACATGCGTTTTTTTTTACTTGGATTTTTTAACAAGCATTTAAAAACTATTAATATTATAATACAGATATAATTTTAATACAAAGAAAGGCTGGAAAATTGAAATAAAGTGGACTTTATGTAGTAGTACATTAGTACTTTGAAATAATGAAACAGAGTGGAAAGATGGATAAGTTGAGTGTTTTATCGACACTTAGGAGTTAATTTGTATAACTGTAAAGTTGGAAACAAGTATTGTTTCGGAGGCCGCGTTTGCAATTGTATTATGTTACCAGCACATTGTCATGCTTTGCGACATGCCCTGCGAACAACTGGGCTTACTAAATATTTACTGCCAGTATTTAACGAGATGAAATATAATAGTATTTAAAATGGAAATAATAACTTTTTATTTTTTTAAAAACAAATTACGTTTTGCTTTATTTTGTTTACAATTACATATTAATAAATGTTTTTTAATATCAAGGCTGAACTATATTATATTTATTTTCTACCAATAAAATAAACAAATCCATTGAACGCTGTTCGAAATATGAAAGTTGAATTTACACAGAAATCAAAAATCTTGTGAAATACAAAACGATAAAAAATCGCGTTCGAGAACCATCTACATAGTTTACTTGAAGTATTTCATTGAGATAAGATTAAAAAGATTCATCAAAGAATGATTACCGTCCACAGAAGAATGCGTGCCGGGTGGCAATTGGCAACACTATAATATGGACAATTGACATGTCTGTGGTTTAATTCTCCAGTAATTATAATATTCTCTTGAATAGATAGATTCATGTGGGCAGAGACGATAAAATGTTGTTACTCGTTACTCAATGCCATATGTGGTCTGCTGACCCGCTCCAAATGTCCTCGAAAGACGCAAATCGTAGCGCTCGTTGCACAAAAAGATATATCTGATCGAACGATCGAATTCTATAGGTACAAAAATTAAACTTTTCCTACACACATAAATATAAAATTATTATCTTATATCATATTACTTGTATATTTTAAAACAAGTTATAATGTGCACGATTACACTGCAAGAAAATGTTAATTTATTATCATTAAGGCAAAACAAGGACAACCTAAGTAAGAAACTTACCGTGTTTTCCGCTTTTTTTTTGGCTTAAATGACTATGGATAAATATGTTTAATTTTAATATAAAACCTTTTTGAACCTGTATAAAATATTGCGCAACATTTAAGACGAAATAAGGTTTATTTAATATAAAATGGTCATAATTTGGGACAAGTTTTCTAAATATATCTAGAAGACTTGAGAGCTGCTTAATCCGAAACCAGTTTGAGGTCGGATTTAAGAGATTATATTACTTTATTGGCTTAGAGTTGCCTGAGAAATAAAACGAAATAATAATAAATAACCTAATAAATATGTATGATAAATAAAATTATGCAGATAATCTAGTAAAATTAATAAAATAATATTCTTAATATTAAAAACATTTCTCATAAACATTTACAATATACTTTCAGATTTTTTACAATATTTTAGTTGAATATATCATATCATTTGAATTGCTTTATAATAGTGCATATTACCAATAACTTGTGATAGCATTGATTTAAGTATATCAATTTCCTTGTTGATTTAATTTCTTTTTACGTTTCAAAATGCAGTGATAAATAAGCGTATATTTTATATTTAATCTTACTATGAATACTAAGTATAATATGTGAACAGGATCATCGCAACATTCAAGGCAGCTTTTTGTATTATATTAAAAAAGAAAAAAAAACAGTAATTCTGCGCGTGGTATTATATTACCGGCCATAGTTTATAAATATGGCAACGTGTGAGTTGCGTTATATTTACGTATTACTTAGATATATACATAGTGTGTACAATGTACATACTTACGTCTGCGACCAAGAGTGTTGTCATTGTAGTAAACGTAACGTATCACATGGTAGGAGATAATGAGCGTAAACAAAAACAATTCATTCTCGCGAGCATACGCTTGCGACATGAAGGTAAACAAAGACTTAATCTGTTTTATTCTACCCACTTTTAATCTGTGTGAACAATCCTTTTAATATTTAGTAATAACTTTGTTTGAAAATTGTCCTGATTTGTTGTTTTTGTTTGCAACATTTTCGACAATATTTATTTATACGGTAAATTAAAACAATTGTGTAAATTGTTAACGGCGAAGGTGTTAATAACTATTTATATATTTTTTTAATTCCAGGCGCGATCTGAGTCCATGGCATCAGTTTATTCAGGAGCCGGTGAGGGCTTGCGAGGGAGCGTGACCGTGCGTGGAGAAGTGCAGTTCTCACTTGTGTATAACTATAGACTAGGGGCTTTAGAGGTAGGAGTCAAGCGTTGCAGAGATCTGGCACCTATTGATGTCAAGCGAAACCGCTCGGATCCTTATGTTAAGGTATATAATGTACATTTATTTCTATAAACTTACATATTATTTTATTGAAATATATATATTTTTATTCTATGACTAACAACTCACCCTCGTTTCGCTCGGGATCGTCTCCAGTTATGTTTTGACTTTTAGTATAGATTTCTCAGAGATGAGATATTTTTCCGCAGTAAAAAGTATCCTATATGTTGACCCGGATGACTAGCTATCATCATACCAAATTTCATCAAAGTTTATCCAGTGGTTTTGTCGCGATGTGGCCACCGACAGACAGACAGACAGACAAAAATTCTAAAAAGTATAGATTCGGCCTCTGTATAGATAATCATGACTATTTCAATAAGATTTTCCAAAAAAATTTAAACCTAACATTATGTAACAAACAAAATAATATTTTTATTAAACGATTTACAAAAAGTATTAGGCAGCATAATATGTACATATGTATACGCAATCAAATGTAGGTATTTTGCTTGTTTATCGCTAATGTCTATAATCTGCTTTATAAAGTGGGCGGTGCTGCGTTCCTATCATTAGGTTTTTAATTATACCTATTAATGCATGAAAACTATGCTGGTTCACCGCTAACAATAAAATACTAGATATGTTTGTACCTTTTTGCTTGAGGAAAGCGTTACCCTGGGCTTCTTAATCACACTGCCTCAAAAGAGGTTAAAGGAGAGGAATAAACATTTAATGTCAATTTATTATTTATACAGCTGGCATTGCCCGCGGCTCCGCCCGCGTTCATATGACCAAAACCAAATTCTTAGATTTTTACATATTAGTATACTCTTACATTGCAGCTTTTGTATTTTTCTCAGGAATCAGACATTTTCTTGCGGTACAAAGTATCCTATATGTTGACCCGGATAAGCAGCTATCACCATACCAAATTTCATCAAAATCCCTCCAGTAGTTTTTCCGTGATGCGGTAACAGACTGACAAAAATTCTAAAAACTATAGATTCGGCCTCTGTATCGATAATAATGTCTATTTCCATAAGGTTTAAAAAAAAATGTACAGATTCGGCTTAGTTAAAATTTTATTATAGGTATAGATTAGAATGATCATTTAAAAGAGTAAATTAATATATTTTGACATATCGTGTTATAGGTGTACTTGTTACCCGACAAGTCCAAGGCTGGCAAACGGAAGACGAAGGTGAAGAAGAACACGTTGAGTCCCGTGTTCGAGGAGACGCTGACATTCTCGCAGCCGCTGAGCTCGCTGTCCTCACGCACGCTGTGGCTGAGCGTGTGGCACGCGGATATGTTCGGCCGTAACGACTTCCTCGGGGAGGTGACGCTGCCGCTAGCCGACGTCGTTTTTGACGACCCCGCGCCTATGTGGTATAAGCTTCACGAGAGGGTGAGATATTTATTTATTTATTTAAATTGCAAGCCAACGTAATGTACAAAGTAACTTAAAGTAACACGTAAAATATTTTAACTAAGTTTTACACTGTATCTTCCGAATAAAAGCTAACTCAATATTTTTAAATGACTACTAACTTAACGTAATGCAATAAAAAAAACAATTAATCATAATAAAAAACATATTGTTTCTAATACATTTATTTTCCAAATTAACGCGAAGTGACTTATGTCTCTACATATGTGTCAAAAAGTAGCTGCTAGTAGAGTATGTGCTATTCCAGTTTCCAGGTCTTAGTCTACTTGTGTACCAAATTCCATCAAAAATCATCCAGATATTTCAGCGTGAAGGAGCAACAAACATATACACAAACATTCAGGCCTATAATAAATAATAATCCAATAACAAAAAAATTTAGGCTGTGATGATAACTTTCACATCACATTTAAAGGTGTTATTCAGATTATAAGCTTATAATTGTTGGGTGTGTGGTTGTCAATCGTCATCCTCTTCCTTCCTTAGTCTTCTTTAATTTTTTCAAGAAATAAGTATATCCAGGATAGTTACTTAAAAATAAATAAAGCAAAAATCTATCTGCATTAATAAGATGCAAATCTAAAATATTCATAAATTTTAAATACGCAGCCGGTAGGATTCGAACCTACGCTCCCAGAGGGAATCTGATTTCGAGTCAGACGCCTTAACCACTCGGCCACGACTGCTTGCATTGGCATGCTACATTTCTGAATTGCATAAAAATACATTTGCAATATTAATATAGAAATCAAATATACCCTACATTTATAATGAAAGCAAAATATTAATTAGGCGCTTTCCGGATCCATACCGGATTTATAGCAATAAAATAAATTATTGTACTATTATATTCATGAGGCCATTCACCTCCTTGCAAAAAGCAACTTGGGAAAAGTTTATGATTTAGTTTTAAAGCCTGGTGTCAGATTATTAAGAAAAAATAATAGAACTTTCTCTTGTAACGATTACCACAGAAGAAATAAAAAACCCATACACGCAAAACTCGTTTACCAATAAACAAACAATATTAACTTTTCATCCAAGACATTTAAATTAAAGTAAAACATATAATGACTTATAAAATATATTTATCTTCAGACGGAGCAGTTCGACGAGCAACAAGGCTCTCGCGGAGACCTAATCATAGGTCTGAAGTTCGAGTTGCAAGACGCGGCGCGTGGGAAGGGCACGCTCCACGTACTTGTGAAGGAAGCCAAGAATCTCGTCGCTACTAAACCTAACGGACTTGCTGACGTATTTTGTAAAAGGTTAGTTAATAATAGTTTATTATACTTCATAACTTATATTTAATTTTATTCAACACTAGCGATTAATCTCGCTTCGCTTGCGTGCGTCTCCGTATAATATGTTACACTACCTATCTGTAAAAAAAATCATCGAAAGAATAACAAAGCAAAGAAAAAATTAGCCAGGATGTGTTTTTAAATGATAATAATTTAAATAAAGTATATAATATAATAAATAGTATTATAATAATTTAATTGTATGTACCTAGTAGTTTAAAACGAGGGAATCGTCAACTCTATTTTTGTTAATTCATGACTAAATCGACAACATTTCTTTGACTAACCAGAGAAAATTTCAATTTAATTTAAATTAATTTCATACAATTTATATGCGAAACAAACATTAGGTACAAAGTAGTTTGAAGGTCGTTATGATAAGTATGAATCGATAATAAACTCCATTTGTTTGAACAGAAAATAAATATTGTTTTTATTGTAGGTATAATACATAGATATTTTAAAATATGTAGTATAGTTTTACATGAGAGAACTTGCTGCATTTTTTTAACACAAATAATACAATAATTTTTACTGACGCTTGTATGTATGTTATGCCCCCGTTTTTAACTAACTTGCAATGTGGAAACGGTTATAAGTTGGTACGGCACTTTATTTTACCATACCATACTAAAACCTTCATTTAGAGTTAAGTCTAACAAAATGGTTTTATTCCATTCAAAATTATTTTAAAAAAGCCTTGTTACCCAGTAAATGTGTAATCGATCTCCCTATACGTCTAAAATTTCCGTACATACTTTATTTGAATACGTATGTAATTTTTGTAAATAATTTTAAACATTAATATTGTATCACACTATTCATAGGTGACACATTAAATATAGGGTATCCTTCCTAATAATTATTGGGTAACCTAGTGGTAAGGCCAAATAAAAAGGTTTAACTCTATTCGTGACCCGAAGGTGTACTAAATTTCATCCCAATGTACTCAACCGTTTCAGTGCAAAGGAGTAACAAACATACACACACATACAAACTTTCGCATATATAATATAAGTTCTATTATATTATAATAGCGACTCACCCTCGCTTCGCTCGGGGTCGTCCGTAGCTTGCTTCCCAATACAAACTTTCATCCACATTTTCACCTCTTTAAGGGATGATTTCCGGAATAAAAAGTATCCTATGCCCTTAATACTTTCTTATAATATTTAAAATATCCTATGCCCTTTCGAGGGTCTCAAACTATCTTCTTACCAAATTTAATCTAAATCGGTTCAGTAGAATCAGAGATTACCCCCTACAACGTCACAAACTCACAAACTTTACCTCTTTATAATATTAGTATAGATATATTAAATATTTACAAATGAATACTCCACAGCTACTTGCTACCGGAGCGCGGTCGTCTCACCAAGCAGAAGACGAGCGTGTGTCGGCGCACGCTGCACCCGCGCTGGGAGCACACGTTCACGTACCGCGGCGTGGGCGCGCGGGAGCTCGCGACGCGCGCGCTGGAGCTCAGCCTGTGGGACCGGGATCGTATCGCCTCTAATGACTTTATGGGCGCCGTGCGCCTTTCTCTTGGCACTGGTTAGTATCACATACGGACGGACGCACTAGTCCACATATGCACACATTGAGTATTGACGCCTACTACTGTGTTAATATATCGTTATCACAGATATGGAGCCACAAGAACAAAATAGTAAAGTAAAATTTATAGTACAGACTAAAAAAATAACACAGACGAAGTGTCATAGAACTAAAAATGTCAATGTACAGACAATGTGTGAGAAGAGTTACTAGATGTTGATATAATTTTATAATCACTGAATCGATTAATTATTTATAAATTATTGTATCATCTTACAGTTAGTTTTTTTAATAATCTATACATATAATAAAATTATAACTAAGCCGAATCTGTACCTTAAATATTTTTTGGAAAATCTTATTGAAACAAACATTATTATCGATACAGAGGCCCAATTTGTAGTTTTTAGAATATTTGTCTCTTTGTCTGTTACCGCATCACAGAATAACCACTGGAGCGATTTTGATGAAATTTGGTATGGTGATAGCTGGTTATCCGGATCAACATATAGAATACTGTTTACCGGGGGAAAATATCTCATTTCTGAGAAAAAATACAAAAACTGCATTATAAGAGTATACTAATATGTAAAACCTAAGAATTTTATTTTTGGTCATCTGAACGCGGGCAAAGCCGCGAGCAATGTTAGTTAGTTATAAAAATCTTATTAACAAATATTTGAATTTTTATTAATTTCGAAAATATAATATTTATAAAGCTAAACATTATTGTCCTTATAATAATTTTAGCTATAATTCATCTGTTGTCGAGTCTCCGACTGCGAAACCGGTCGTCCTCCTCTAAATCCAACCCTACTTAAAATTCTTTTAAAACTCTAAAAAATATATCAGGTACATACATGGGCGCAAGCGTAAACTGGATGGACAGCGTGGGCAAGGAGATATCGCTGTGGCAGACCATGATGCAACGTCCAAACTTCTGGGTCGAAGGCTCTCTGCCCTTACGACCTCAGCTCAATAACTGAATTTATTTATATTTTCAGTACTTTATAAACAACGACTTATAATTTCACTTTATAATAAAAGAATAACTGCGCAATTTTTGCTACATCACAATTATTAAATCTATAGTCAAGTTTTATTACATTATTTACAAGAGTGATATAACTATCATAGGTACCATCAAGACATTTTTTTTTCTATAATGGCTTATAGTTGCGTTAACAAACGCAATCCATTCTGCCATTAAAACATTATTATATCTCAGTGGAGAATACAAGTAATACTCTTTCTTAATAGCGACGTTAAGTATTCGAACTGTAATATTTTTCTTCTTTTTTATCCTGTAACATTGTATCGTGTGCCAATCATGTTATAAGGGTAATTTTTACATTAATTTTATGTATAAGACGGTTCATGTTTTATTACTCCTCTAACTATATAACTTTATAATACGTTTTCAAAATAAGTTGTAAACTTTTTTCTGTAACATTGTTTACATTCCAATATGAAATGTAAATAATTTATTATAAGACATATTTCTAATGACAATAACATTCTTTTATAAACTGCCTATTAGGTAAGAATTAGAGATTTATATTTAAGTTACGCATTTAAAATAGGATTTTAATGTACAAATTAAGTTCGCATGGGTCCGTAAGTTACTGCTCATGCATATTGTGATTTAAAAATATACTTTAAGGAAGTGCAGACATAGATAAACTGATTGAAGTATAATTCAAAATATTATATAGCTATATATATATATTGCAACGAATTTTTACAGAAACGTCCATAATTTTATATAAAATTGTTATAAATAACACTATTAAGTTAACTTTAAGTGTAGGAAGTACATTATTTTGTAATAAATATTTTTTTATATAAAATATTATTGTAAGAACGTTCGAAACATTGAATAAATAAATTTAAATGATTGCGTTTCTCTTTCCAGCGTCATCTTTTTTCATAATCCCTTTTTATAATAATTAATAGCCACTATATACTTTTATACTTGTACTTATTATTATATACTTTTATTCAAACCTTATATTTCTTAAAGTCATAGAGATTATCTTTAAAATATTCTGTCTTTTATTAAAATCAAGGATAAACAATAGTTTCTTGATGAAAAACATACGTCATCATAGTTTATAGCACCTGGACCACCGAGTTTCGCTCGGAGTTTTTGGTTAAAAAGTACAATATTCTTTAAAAAAATACTAATAACTTGAATAAATACAAAATAAATATGCCTTTGTATCTGACCGGGATTCGAACCCGGACACATAGGATTATCAATCTTGCGTCTTTAAAAAAAATACTAATAACTTGAATAAATATTAAAAAAAAAGTATAAACTTTTTATGCGACCGAGATTCGAACCTCGACACATGTGATTGTTGATCTTGCACCTTGGCCGCTTGAACACGATGCTTATACCCGAGCGTGCAATTATAAAGACCATATTTTGCGTGGTATAATGCAAAAGAAAACTGCATGAAAACTCGAAAACACGCGTTTTCTCATACTTAAGACTAATCTAGATCGATTTACCGCCCCCGAAACACCCTGTGCACTAAATTTCATGAAAATCGTTGGAACCGTTTCCGGGATTGAGAATATATATATATATATATATATAGGGTGTTTCGGAGGCGGTAAATCGATCGATTAGTCTTATGTCGGGGAAAACGCATGTTTTCGAGTTTTCATGCAGTTTTCTTTTGCATTATTCCACGCAATATATGTTCGGTAATTTGCACACTCAGGTATAAGCATCGTGTTCAAGCGGCTAAGGTGCAAGATCAATAATCTCAGGTGTCCAGGTTCGAATCTCGGTCGCATACACAGTCTTACTTTTATTTTATTTTTTAATTTTTATTCAAGTTTTAGTTTTTTTTTAAAAGACGCAGATTGACAATCATAAGTGTCCGGGTTCGAATCCCGGTCGGATACAAAGGTATAATTTATTTTTGTTTTTTTTTTTAATATTTATTCCAGTTTATAGTTTTTTTTTAAAGAAAATTGTATTATTTAACAAAAAACTCCGAGCGAAGCTCGGTGGCCCAGGTATTATGCCTAATATGCGTTATTTAATTTGTTTAATTAAAATTTATCATTCCTTTTACAAACAGAGAGTTGTGACATACGTGTGAAATCTTTAGCTCTTTTTGTTCTATTACGCCAAAGAAGTATAACTTCTGTGCGTACATATGTACACATACACACATTTTTTAGTATCTGACGGTCTATCCTAATTATTTAAAACATATAATTTATTATCTATATCTTCGAATTTCATAAAGAGTACCGATAACCTACAAAGTTTTACTTCTTGCGCATGTACGCACTCTTAATTTTTAATAATTGTTTTTTTTAATCAAAAAGAAATAACATTAACAAATATTATAAAATAATAAAGACTGAAAAAAAAACACCTTTAATTAAGTCATCATAATCGGTATTACTTGACGTCCCGTTTGGCAATAGATAGACATTCAGACAATCTATAAAAATTAGATTTAAAGGCAATTATTAAAAAAAATGGTTTTTTATCAATCATGATAATATTGAAAGAAATAAACATCTCTTAAAAGTGAAAATGAGGTCATATTTTTGTTCAGCTAGTTTCTCGGTGTGCTATCTCCATTTCTGTGTTGCTATACGTAATATTTGTCTCTGTGAAGTGTGACATTCTAAATTCTTATTTTAGTCTGTGTATATAGCAATATTCTCTATGGTCTGTGGACTGTGATTATAAATAGCAAACTACTGTTTAATACACTGTGGTGTTAGACTTAAAAGTTAAAATGGTTTTTGTCTTCTGTAATTACGTTAACTCATAAATAGAAATTAGAAAGTATTGTTGACTAATAGAACAATTCATTAAACATTCTTGATTTAAAAATAATTAATGCTTTTATTACTAGTGCTATAATAATGTCTTCTACTACTACAAGTGGTAAAGAATCTTTCGAAGATTTCTATACAGAGGTAAGATAACCTAATTGAAATCTAAATTAGGTGAATTACTTGAAAAATATTGAATGGCAAGTATAATTTATATTAAAATTCATAATTTCAGGTAAAAGAAATCGAGAAAAGAGATTCAGTATTGACTCCTAAACAACAAATAGACAGATTACTTCGACCAGGGTCTACGTATTTCAATTTAAATCCATTTGAAGTGTTACAAGTTGACCCTGAAACTGGCTTAGATGAAATTAAAAAGAAATACAGACGGCTTTCAATACTGGTTCATCCTGATAAAAACATTGTAAGTAATTATCACATTATATATAGAAAACATATAGTCATAATACAACACGCATATTACACTGAAAATCATGTTATATATAAATAATAACATTTTGTAGATATATTTCTTCATATTAGCATTCGAAGTATAGCCTCTATAACCTTCAATTAATTAAAATTGAAAAGTATTTTTATCAAAATTAGTATTAACTATTAATACATAACATGTAAATTAAAATGACTTTTAATGTTACATTGATTCATCTCTCAAGTAAAATATCATAGCCGTAGTCATAACCCGGTGATCCTAGATTTTTTCGTTGAGACGGTGTATCCGTCAACATTTGATTTTTATCCACAGATGTGACGTTTGGAAAACCTGAGCCAACCTGTGCAGTTCATTTGTAGGTAAGGAATGGTTGAAAATGATGTTTGATTGACTAAAGCAATGTCAAACATCAAAAGAAATATTACAACCAATAAACTCAATTTTCTAACTAGCTATTTATTTAATTATTTAACTATTAATAAATTTAACTATGAATGTTTTATACTGTGCATTATCATCAATATAAATAAACAAGTACAAGTTTCATAAATATAAAACTTTATTTACAAATTACTTATATAGCAGCATTTTTCTGTTGATATTAAATATTATACATTTTGTTATACTTACTGTAGCTATCTAATGTTTGTATGTGTAACAGTGAAAATAAATTATTGAATTTTGACATGATTAACATAGAGAAGATACATTATTCTCATATTTATTACTTTCTATTCTCAGGATGATTCAGAACGAGCCCAGCAAGCATTTGAAATAATAAACCGAGCATGGAAAACACTTGAAAATGAAGAAACTAGGAAAAAATGTCTTAATATATATGAAGAGGCAAAAGAGCGTACTGACCACATGGTAGGGTTTGTTTTTTACTAGTTCTTAATCATAGCTTTACCTGCACAAAGTGTTTTTGATGTGAAACATCTTTAGGCGTGCTTTGGCAGTAAAATCGACCTGCGTTATTACGGCCTACGGTGGCGTGTCGCATACAGACTGTCAATTGTCATGCGATCTTGGCTGTTCTACGCCACCACTCCCGACTCCCTTGTATGCGTACGCGCGTATACTATACATTTTATTGCTTCTCTGTGTGAGCTGCATAATAATTCTTAATTTTACTCCATATTTCTATATATGTTTTTATTAATTAAGAATACTAATATTAACATAACTATCCATTAACAATTTTTTTATTAGAAAGTTGTTAATTTTATTATTAATTAGTTTTTTCTCAGATGTAAATAAAAACATGTAAACAATTCAATGTAATTGGTAACAAAAAAACTTACAATTATATATATTTTTCAACATACTTTAACCAGATATCTTTTAAGAAACTTTGTTATTTCAGGATGTTTTATTTCAATGATAACATTCCTATTAAACAAATATTATTGTACCAACCGTTGCTGGATTTAATTTCTACAGTTCAGTCTGGGTTGCCAATGGTATTGCATATAGCCTTTTCTGGAAATGATCTTATTGTGATTTTCATTTACAGATAGATCAAAAACGAAAGAAACAAAAGAAAGATGGACGTGTAGAAGAAGGTATTCCTGAAGATGACCCTGACAAGTATAAACATGCCATTTATGTTATGACAATGAAGGTTTGTTTTAACGTAGTTATGTATTTTTTATACATACATAGTTTCACGCTAACTTCTTTGAATAGACAAATAAAATCTCAATCTCAACTCTCATTCTTTGCATCAGTTTACCGTTTTCATTTCCGCCATTGCACTATGATTTCTGTCATTTTGTCTTATTTATAAATTACTAGCAGAACCCACGGCTTCGCTCGCGCTAAAACCACAAAAAAAATCTAAAAAGATATGTTTCATACAAACTTACATCCCCTATTTTACCCCCTTATGGGATGAATATCAAAAAATGTTAAAACACGTATTTATTTAATTGTATTGAAGAGCATTAATACCAAGTTTCAAGTAATTCTGACTATAAATATTTTTTTGGGTTTTATTATAACGTGTTTTCCCGTGGGAATGAAATAATCTGCCGCGTCAAAAAGTAGCCTATGTCACTGGGTCACTCTCCAGCCCTCCAACTATCACCACACAAAAAATCATGCTAATCCGTTACTCTGTTTCGATGTGAAAGAAGGACAAACAAACACACTTTCACATTTATAATATTAAGTATGGATCTTTGTGAAAGTTTTATTAAACTTAAGCTAGTCAATGCCTCTTACTATTACTATGTTGGAGATCAAACTAAAAGTGTATAATATAAGTAATTTTAATTCTTCACTGGTAGGGTCCTTGAAACACAAGTTTCAATAAAAACGCAAGTTTTTCAATAAAACATATTTTCCATGATATAAGCTATCTCCACTCTTCTAAAATTTGTTCAAACTGTTACAGTGTACATAAATAATAAATATTTCTACCCACTAACTTTTGCATGTATACTATTGTGATTTAATGTTTAACATTGCTCTCAATTAGGTTCAGTGTACAACAACCTCATCATCCACAACCATACAAGTTAGCCATTAGACAACAAGGCAATCAACAATATCATTACAACTTCTTAATTTTTAGTGTAAATGTATTATCTACATATATAAAACAAAGTTTGGTTTGTGACAACACTTATAACTCGAGAACGGCTGGACCGATTTTTATGATCTTTGTTTTATTGGATATGTCTTCACCCCAAATAGCAAAATAACTCTTAAAACATAGGTAAAATTCACAAACAAATTGAAAAAAAAACTATTCCTTACTAAGCGTCAAAACGTAGATAGGGACGAACCTGAGCGAAGTGAAGACGTGTCGCTAGTAATATAAATTTGTTGTTTTTTCCAGTTGTTTGCTGACATGGAGCGGAAAAGACAACACCTAGAGACTAGAGATATGGAAGAGAGGAAACGGAAACGTGAAGCTGAAATTGAACAAGAAGAGCAAATGTCATTTGAGAAAGAATGGGCTAAAAATTTTGAAGTATGTGGTTTACCATTATTTATTTACTTTATTTCTAATAGAAAATTATGTTGAAACAGTGGGACTACTGATGTTGTCATTAATTTCTGCAAGCTAATTTTTGTATTAACTATGTAGGCATCATGTTCAATACTGTTACTCGGTTTGTTTTTTTATTAGGGTTCTATACCTGCATGGTATTACTAAGTCTAGACTAAGCAATACTGTTACTAAGCCTCCGCTGTCCGTCCATCCGTTCGTCAGTCAGTGGCTGTGTTTCAACTGTTATTACAATTCCATAACTCTATTTAGTTTTCCAAGTCTTCCATAGTCCCTATTATCCGGAGACCATCTTTGGGCAATGATCTGTGTCCGTACGCAAGCCTTCCAAAGGCTGGGCTCCTTTGAGCTTGTGAAATCCATAGAGATACAAATAGTAATAACTAATGAAAATGAAAAAAAAACAAGATGGTGAATTCCAAAATGCCAAATAAATTTTATAAATACATATTGTTATTTGTTTTTATTTTATTTTTATTAGGAAAACAAACATTACAATATTACATAAATAATAATAAGACGACACATATAGCGCCTCTTGTTTCTTTTAGATAAGTATTTGAAAAGTTCATAAAGTGTTATATTTCGTACGATGGTACGGAACTCTTTGTGTGCGAGACCGACTCGCGCTTGACCGGTTTTTGAAGATGGCGTGACGTATCACGCGAGAGAAACCACAGGCATGAACTAGAATTGAAATCTGATTAATTTTATGATACTTAAAAAAATCCTAAACACTCAAATCTGTTTATATAAATATATACTTTTCTGTTTCAGGAATCACGGCAAAATCGTGTAGATAGCTGGAAAAATTTCCAATCTGGCAGTAAAACAGGAAAAGAAAAGAAAAAGAAAAAAATTATGGGCTTCAAACCTCCGAAACCGAAGCCTGAGAGTAGATAACTTACCACAATATCGAAAACCTATTATAGTATATTAAATTTAAGAATCCTACATCAACTGAGGTCAATAAATACATATATACAAACATACTCAATAACAGAGAGTATTCCATTTATCAAGCCGCCATGGTTGGGTCAAAAAAGGACAACTGAAACAAACTCATGATATACTTCTACATTGGTTTATTTTTGTAAAATTTTAATTAATGTATCCATTGGTCATTTCTTATATATACATCTGTAAATTACTATGCCTTTATAGAAACCTTAAGGGGCACTCTATCCAAAAACTATCTAAAGGACTTTGTGACGAGACTTTCGTAATTGTTTAAAAGTTTAACTAACAAGGTATGCCAATTACAGAATCATTTTAGAAGTAATTATTATAAAGAAAACCCACCCCTAAGAGTGGTTTTTTTCTTAAAGTTTATATGAAATCCTTGAGCTATAATTTATTTGTCAAAGAAGTATGATGAAAATCACAAATTGCGCAGATATAGCATCATATCACAAAATAATTAACATGCAAAGTAATTACCTTCTCCTTTTCAAATTGGTTTATAAGTCCAAGATGGTTAAAATCTTTAACAACTCAAGCTCCTGTTACATTTGTTTATTCAATATTATTTATCTACGTTCACTGTATTAGCCGTTAAGGTCTGACCGAACTTTGTTTTTTTTGTCTCGGCCGAGACTTCTACATTGGTTTATTTTTGTAAAATTTTAATTAATGTATCCATTGGTCATTTCTTATATATACATCTGTAAATTACTATGCCTTTATAGAAACCTTAAGGGGCACTCTATCCAAAAACTATCTAAAGGACTTTGTGACGAGACTTTCGTAATTGTTTAAAAGTTTAACTAACAAGGTATGCCAATTACAGAATCATTTTAGAAGTAATTATTATAAAGAAAACCCACCCCTAAGAGTGGTTTTTTTCTTAAAGTTTATATGAAATCCTTGAGCTATAATTTATTTGTCCAAGAAGTATGATGAAAATCACAAATTGCGCAGATATAGCATCATATCACAAAATAATTAACATGCAAAGTAATTACCTTCTCCTTTTCAAATTGGTTTATAAGTCCAAGATGGTTAAAATCTTTAACAACTCAAGCTCCTGTTACATTTGTTTATTCAATATTATTTATCTACGTTCACTGTATTGGCCGTTAAGGTCTGACCGAACTTTGTTTTTTTAGTTAGACATGACTCAATAACATTTAGTACGTTAAAAATAATACAAAAGTGTTTCAAGCAAAAAATCTTTAGAAATATTCTGAGTTAACACTATTTCAAATATTGACAATTGACATACGTTTCAAAAATAAATATGAAAGGTATTCATTTCCATTTCCCCGACCAGCCGGCTCTTGTTGACGTTAAGCCAATCAGCAATCTTAAACAAAAACGCGAGTAACGTGCATATAATTCTTTAACGCGTCGATAGATAGAGCGATAAAATCTAAATACAACTAATTTGCCGGACCACAAGAAGTCTCGGCCGTGGCCGATATAGAACGAGACCGAGACTTAGGTCAGACCATAATTGGCATCTTACTCCCAGTCCCAGAGCGAACTGTCGGGCGTTAAGTCACTATAGTCTGTGGATATAAAAGTCGTAGAAAGATTCGCCGAGAGTGAAGTATTGAAAAAATTATCTACCGATGCTAGAGTACTTAGTATGTTTTTTCTATATTCCCAAAAACAGCCTTTAGAGAAATCTTACGTTCACCAACAGTTATTTGAAGTTAAGTTGATTTTTACATTTGTCTCTTTCTTTTGTGTTTATATTTTATACTTTGTATTGAAAATTTTGGAGTAATATTTAATGATAAAAGTAATTTTGTTTGTTTTATGACTATTATGTATCATAGCCGTACTCTAAGTGATTAGTACTGCTTTATATTTTTATTTAAAGTTCTGTCATTACATCCAATCTTAGTTTTGGCCAGATAAATTTAAAAAGATCAATGTTTTGCTTCCCAGTGACTTATTCTAAATATTGAACATTGAGTTATATAAGTAAATGAAAAGTTGTTTCGATATAATAAATAATTATTTGTGTATTTTTATGTTTAGAATAAATTATATAGTATAGGTTAGAGAAAAGGAGAAAGATCCTTAAAGCAATATTATGACGAACGAAGATCTCTCTTTCCACAAACTGTTCTAACTTATCAGGAGCAAAGTCTAATTAGTTCGAATAAATGTCATTAGATGGCGATATGAGTATCATTTGCTATTCATGTTTATGTTAAATAATAGAGGAGAAATAAGGTGTAAAAAAGTTTATTTTAGATATTAGTCTCAAAAAGTAACCTAAATAAACTATATATATATATATTGTAAAATTAGCAAATATATAATAAAAAGTTAAAATTGCAAAGTATTGTAAAATAAGGCGTGACATAAGAATAGTGTGATCATAGATGGCGCTGTTTATATTTTATGAGTAATAACTCAATATACCTCTATTAAAAATTTAGTTATTTACTGAAATTTATTTTATTAAATGAAAACTAAATTTTGCTGCATACATTTCCGTGCATACGTTTTATAAAATATAATAGTTCGACAGTTTGCGTATCAATGTCGACATCAATCGTTTAGTTTTAATCATATCATTCGTCATTGGGGTTTGTTGACATGACTTTTAAGTTGGACGTTAAGATATTGTAGTGATTGGGGCGTCTACTAATATCTTAACACGTTTTTAACAGTGATCTTTCTGTTTTTCTCTATCCTTTATGGTATTTTAACTTCATCATCAGAATTATCTTTGGACATAATGGACAATGGACAAAAGTTAACCCAAGATGGCGCTAGATATTTGGTTTTCTGAGTATTATACAGAGTTCGGGATAACTAAAAAGCAAATATGCAGGTAAATAGACTATAGGTTGTGCTGTAAATTGGGTAAACAATTTATTTAAATGATTATGTAATTGATCAGATGTAATTGCATCTTTTTGTTCCTCTTAGTTAAATACTTCATCTTACATACAATATGTGCCTAAAAGCAGTGAGGTTAAGAATCTAGTAGTACCTAGGAGTAGGTAGACATTGTAAATTATGACCTTAATAAAATCTAATAAAATCGCTTGATTGTTTTATTTCTTTAATGGGTCCAATAAATATTTTTAGTATATATAGTTAGTTTAGTACTATGTAACATCTATAAAAAATTGAAAAGTTTTATAGAGTTGCACCATACATACATAATGTCAAGAAAATACTGGCATAAATAAACAAATTGTCATGTTTTTTTTAAATTAATTTTCCAAGATGTCTTCTTTTAGGCTGACAAATGACGTTAAAACAGCATTATGCGATCTAGGATAATATCTATTCAAAAAGGATTTTCTAAGCTTTTAGAAAGTAGAAAATTAGCAACAAAACCGCGTAAGTTGTTTGCAAAATAAAAGTTTATATGATATATAGTGTAGTGTACATTTAGTTCTTAGTGTAAGGCACAACCAGTGTGATACAAAAAATTTTTTTCCAAATTTTGTTTTTCTTTTACCATGTTGAATGTTAAAAGTTGTTATTTATATTATAGTATAAGTCTTATTATAATATGATCAGGTATTCTGGTGATCAAGAAGATATTTCAGAATCGTGACATAGTTATCAATAACATATACAATTTTTAATTGAAAAAATACTTGTGTGGAAATATAGCTATTAAGATTTAAGCCACGACACCACATTTATAACACATTATTTACTTAAATATATCATGAAAAAATAAATAAACATATTCCGCATAGAATATAAATATTATTTAGGTTATGAATTCGACAATTATTGTATTTAAGCTTAGTAAGATTTTTTTTGATGAAACTAGTGCTTATAACATTTTTCTTTAAAATATCTTTCTTACCAGCAAGATGTCAACCCCACATGAATGAACTACCCGTCCCGTGCGGCCCGTGGGACCCGTGGTACAGACAGAAGCAAAGCTTTTATATGAAGCATTTTTTGGGTGGATTGGCCTGGTATGTGTTTGGAATACTCTACTTCAACGATTTAAAATTACATAATATAAGCAGTCTAGCCTTCCTACACTATATGTAAAGCTTGCTCTGCCTGTTAATATTTTACAGATTAAGTGTCACCAATAATTTCTAGTTGGTTGTCACATAAGTACTTGAAAAATGTATAGTACTTTTATTTATATTATGTTGTTATAAAATATTCATTTACATTTTATTTCGCTTTATCAGAAATGCATTCCACGCGAATAGTAGGTTTCTCAAGGATTAATAACAATGCAGTTAAGTCTACCTTGACGGTAATTCAAATGTTCAATGGATAATTCAAAACTCATTTTGATTATATTCAAGGATAAAGCCTAAATTTACTCGACTGTACTATCAATTTTGTTAATTATTGATAGGAGCTGGACCACATAGGATATGCCCAAATATTGATGGACGTCAGAAGCTGCAACGATGATCATTGAAGTAGGAATAAGACCCATGGTAGTTCATTAGGATATTCACGTATCCCCAAGAACAGTGACCGTGAATGGCGCTATTCTTAAAAATGTGCAGGAATACATACCATAGAAATAACAGCACTCTTGGCAAACTTTTAAACTTAGCCGACAAAAGCTGGACAGCTTTTGGGAATGTATCACCGAAGCTCTATTTCCAATCCCACGTCCTCTGGGTAGTTGAAGTGGACCGGTTATGTCTTAAAGATATACTTTATTAATAGCCGATAGATTCTAGAGTAGAGACGCATTTAGGTAAACGAATGAAGGCAGTAGTAGCAGGATGGACAGACGACTTAAGAAAGGTTTTGGATAACGGATGAATGCGAAATTGGAAGTGAACCTACTACGTCCAATGCAATCTGCAGTAATACTTTTGGGTATAAAATATTTTTTGCCTGTCTGTCTGTTATGATTTACATTGATATTTTATAATTTTTAGGTGGCTGTTTTCTTTTGGCCTGGCCTTTTATACGGACAGTTTATATCTGAA